AAGGACCTTGTTATTCCACCATACTGAGAGCATGATCTTTTTCCCATGAATGTCCGGTTTCACGGTCGGATTTGGCCGTTCTCCTGGTCCTAGTCATTTCATTTTTCGAATAGTATTATCGAAATGGATCCACTTCTCATCTCCAGTAACGAGAGAGTCAAAAAAGCTATGATATTTAGCGTGGCGGATGAGCATTCCGGCAATAGCGACAGGTTCTCTTCAAAGATCGCCCTTTGAGTTCATGATTCCATAGTAGCCACCTGAACTTTGGGATTGATTGATGATGAATTGATGTACAATAAAACCTAGATAACAAAAAGATCAAGGGATTTTGAAATACCTTTTTGCTATCGAGGTTTTGCCTCATAATGCTAAGAAATGCTCTAACAATAATAAAAAAAAAGTGCTCTTTGGTACTACCAATGTTTTCATTTACACAAATAAGATTAATTCTATTTAAAAAAACAACATGTAAAGCAACCTCATTATAAAATCGACACCAAATTAGCTAAAAAAATTGAGAAATCTTAGTTTCTTTCGTTTGTTTGATTGATTCCTCCTGGAAAAATTCGTCGATCTTGTAGCATGCATTAATCGTTGTTGAATCATTAACAATATTGAGCAAAAAACGTTGAAAAGTGGTGAAGGCCTTATAAGCTTCTTTTTGTGTCACTTTCGATCCAACGATTATCTTCTTCATTGGTTGAATTCTTATCAATTTCCATAGGTCGACCAAACCATGACGCAATTTCGCTTGTCGTCCGAGTTCCAGTCGTAGATCTTTGTCTTTGTTCCAGTCGTAGATCTTCCAGGATCTTTGTCGACATCAAGAAAATCAACAAGAAATGAGTCTCGAACAACTCCTCCATTTAGCTCAAGTTGATTCCACTTCGTGTACATTTCATCGAGCACCTCATCGTCCACAAAAGGAGTGCTTTTTCTATTTAATCATTTTTTCCTCCTCGCAAACAATTTCTCCTATTTTTCCTTCCGTCATCCATTTCTTTCAATGTCCGTTCTTTGTTACGTAAAATCGATGTGATCGTGTCATAGGAAAGATGGAATACGTCAGCCAATTGAGAAAAGATCCTATTCTTTGATTTTCGAATCAACTCTAACTTGGTTCCCAATTGAAGCGCTATTTTTCCCATCGCCCACCTGAAAAAAAAAGAAAATTATTAATGCAATAAACAAGGCTAGCTTCTTTGCACAACTTTTAGCTGATACCAATACAGAAAACAAAATATTCAATCAAACAATTTGTGCAAAGAGGCTACGCCATAAACAGTGAAAATAGCAATGAAAATACTGAAACTTCACGTATTATAATTCGCAAAGAAGTGCAAATGATCAAAATGAGGGAAAAGTGACAGAAAACGAATCCTTTTATACGTTCATTGCTAAAAGGTGCTCAGCTAAAGACTGAATAGCTGCGCTTTGAGTCACCTTTTAGGATTCAGCTACTTCGTGAAGTGTGGAAAGCCGTAATGTTTGTAAAGCTAAAATTATACCAATTTTACTCGGGATACGGAAAAGACGGGAGTGGGACAAATGCGACCTTTTTTTTGCGCACCCGGACATTTGCGCACCTTTTTTTCCGCACCTTGCCCATTAGCGCACCTTTTTTCGCGTTTTTAAAAAAGCTCTAAAAAGCTAATATTAACCAATTTCTATTCCAAAAGTTGTTTTTCTAGGTAATTTGAGGGCGTAGAATCGAAATTTTGACATATCAGAGCTTGTGGAAACAAACGGACGGAGTTATACGGAGAAAAAGCGACAATTTTCTGTAATTTGATCTAGCCGTTTTGTCTTTCAAATTGGTTCCACAAGCTCTGTTATGTCAAAATTTGAATTCGACACCCTAAAATTACCTAGAAAAACAACTTTTGGAATAGAAATTGGTTAATATTAGCTTTTTAGAGCTTTTTTAAAACGCGAAAAAAGGTGCGCTAATGGGCAAGGTGCGGAAAAAAAGGTGCGCAAATGTCCGGGTGCGCAAAAAAAAGGTCGCATTTGTCCCACTCCCGTCTTTTCCGTATCCCGAGTAAAATTGGTATAATTTTAGCTTTACAAACATTACGGCTTTCCACACTTCACGAAGTAGCTGAATCCTAAAATCCATTTGTCCCACTCCCGGAAAAGACTGTTTGTTAACGAGGTTTTTTCGCTATTAACGTTTTTGTTATCGACGCTTGACTGCAATATAAACAACTCAAGTAATCCGTAGTAGAAGAAGAATTTTATTTTTTTGGCGGTTTTATGGATTTGGCAATGGGCTTATCATTCTTGGGTTTCTTTTTCGTGCCTTTTTTGTTCCCCCATCACTGGGGGTGTGTGCCGATCCCGCCTTAAGTGCAATAGCGGGCCGACGCTGCACGGTGAGAAGCAAGCTTACTACAAACCGCACGAGGTCCAAAAATTGGTTAATCTCGATGAGTTCAATAGAACTCGTACCGGAGACTAAGCCGATAAGAACAGTTACTACACATTGATCTTAGCCAGAGGCCAGAAGCGATAAGGAACGAGAGAAAGGGAGCGGTATCTATTGAGAAGGGATGCCACATGGCGGGCGATTGTGCGCGCGCACAAAGAACACCTCATCACTGTAAAAGAGATACGTTTTGTTGGTGAAAAATAAAAGAAATAGAAAATAAGAAACGGAATTTTAAAATCAAAATTCCACACACTTTTATACAAAGTAATTCTTGAAGTTTTCGATGATTAAATAAAGATGAAATCAATGATTTACAATGCAAAAAAACAGTTTGTAACAAGTTTATTAGATTGATTGATTTGAGATTGATTTGAAATTTGAAAAACTCCTTCACTCACCTCTCAAAACCCTCACGAAATCTTCGGGCACATATCGGTCAGCGTATTTGTCACCCTCTTTGATTATCGATTCCTTGATTGTCTCCCAATCGGCAATAATGACAGCTGGTTTGAAACCTGAAATGTTGAAAATTTTTTGAACTTTGTAAAAAAAGAATTCTTTGTACTCACGGGAGTGGGACAAATGCGACCTTTCTTTGCGCACCCGGACATTTGCGCACCTTTTTTCCCGCACCTTGCCCATTAGCGCACCTTTTTTCGCGTTTTAAAAAAGCTCTAAAAAGCTAATACTAACCAATTTCTATTCCAAATGTTGTTTTTCTAGGTAATTTGAGGGTGTCGAATTCAAATTTTGACATAACAGAGCGTGTGGAACCAATTTGAAAGACAAAACGGCTAGATCAAATTACAGAAAATTGTCGATCTTTCTCTTTGTATAACTCCGTCCGTTTGTTTCCACAAGCTCTGATATGTCAAAATTTCGATTCTACGCCCTCAAAATACCTAGAAAAACGACTTTTGGAATAGAAATTGGTCAATATTAGCTTTTTAGAGCTTTTTTAAAACGCGAAAAAAGGTGCGCTAATGGGCAAGGTGCGGAAAAAAAGGTGCGCAAAAAAGGTCGCATTTGTCTCACTCCCATACTCACTCATCCAAATCGTAAACACCGGTCCGTAATCTTTTCTCCATTTTCGGAAAATCTCATAGCCGGGCATGTTGAGAAAAATCTCGACCAAGTTTCCGACCAGCGGGTACGGTGTTGGGCCTAGATAACAAAAAAACAATTGCGTACTAGCTTTTCGACATTTTTAGACTACTTAAACATTTTAGATTTTTAGATCAGACATGTTTAGACAGCCATTTTTGTGATTGTATTATTTTACATTACATTGTTAGACACTTTTTGGTCAAAACCAGCGATGTTTCAAATCCAATTCTTAGCATGAGCAATATCCAAATGGCTTAACAGGGCTTGGTCGATCCTGAGCTGTTCAGATTTACAGGAAGGCCCGGTTGAAAGATTCTGGTCAAAACAGACTACAAACCTGGTGGTAGATCTTTTCGTTTCCAGTAGAACTCATAGAACAGATAAAGAACAAAGAGAAGTCCTATTAGAGTGAGTATCATTTTCTGGAAAAGTTTTTGTTAGATAAAAAAGGTAAATAGAGTTGAAGTACGAAGTCAATTTTCAAAAGGAACAGTAAAAGATCTTCTGAACTGAATCAAGTTTCCTGGACAGCTCAGGACTCCTGAACAGCTCAGCTCAGTGCTCTCTAAAATGTTCAATACGAAATTTGTTAAACAAGAAGACATAGGACATAGAACAAATTTGATAAATCAATAACTTTTGATCGAAAAAGCAAAATAAGGTTTAATTCCTACTCAAACCGTTGTATTTGTTTTCAGCTTTAACTCTCAAAAACCACAATGTTACTAGGAATCTATAAGACAAGTGAGCTGGAGAATATTGAGATAAACAGAGAAAAAAAAATAGGCGCTTCAAAAGCAAATAAAACTCTCTTTTCCAATCTTTTTCTCATTTTTCGATAAGTCCACCGATTTTTGCTTTTTACACTCTCTTTTCCAATCAAATTGTTGGGCATCACTGAACTTTTTTGAGTGCAGAAAGAAACCAAAGATCATGGCTATCATTGCTAGAGTGTTGTGGGGATGTTTTAAATCAAAAAATTTTTGACTCAAACCAATTTTTAGATATTTTAGAAAACTTTGTAACTTATCAGTTATATCGCGCAACTTCAGAGAGCTCAACAAGTTCTGTTCTGGTCTACAAAACATGGTCTGGGTACTCAAGGTCTTAATTTTAAGCCATTTACCTTATTTTAAAGTTATAATCTCCAAAATTCTCTGTTTGCAAAAGTGGTGTAAAGATGGAAAATTGCGTTTTTACGGGGTTTTCGATAATACCCGGACTCAGTATTTTAAGTGTAACTCAGCACTCAGATGTGCAATCATTTCATGCTTTGTTTTAATAGAAAATTTAAATATTTTTCTATAATGGATTCTTAGATTTGACGAAAAAAACCTTTTCTGCCTTTTTTTTATAGAAGCTCAAAGTTTGCAGTGAGGAGTTCTAATCAACATTAGAATTTTTCTCAGCTTGGTTTCTAAGCTTTATTACAAGCATTGAATTACAAATGTACAGGTTAATGTCTTTCTTCAACATTGCAAAAGTAAGGTTTCGCTGTGACTACTTGGCCCATGTCTTTCTTCATCGAGGGAAGCTCGGTGGCGGTCAGCTGGAACAATTCTTGAGTTATTCAACTCATTACAAGATTCAATGGATTACACATTCAAGTTTCTTCTTGATTAGTAATAGTCGGTAACAGACCTTGAATCTTTGAAAAATGTTTGAAATGAACAGATAGAGTTCCATTCTCGCCAATCCTTCACCAGGACATTGTCGCTTTCCAACAGAAAACGGGACAAGCTCGGGATAAGTTTTGAAGGTTCCGTCGGGGTTGAGGAAACGTTCCGGTTTCAATATATACGGATCGGGAAAAATCTAAAACAATCTTTTACAAATCTTTATTAATTTTCTTTTACCAGTACCTTGTCATCATACAAAATAGTCGCAATTTGAGGCATCACAGCTGATCCAGCCGGGATCTTGTAGCCTTTAATCACCGCATCCTCGGTGACAAGTCTCATCAGATTTTGCGGAAGCAAGTTGGCTAGGCGTTGAATTTCCTAAGAAATACGAAATACTTTTGATTTAAAATTCTTGATATATTGAACTTGGCTGTAGTCTAACTGTAAAGTAGATAAAATTCAAGACCAAAACCTACTGAAACAACAGCGTTGATGTAAGGCAATTGATTTTTGTCAGCGAGCGTAACTTTTCGATCCGATTTGATCACTCGATCCAACTCTTCGTGCATTTTTCTTTGCACTTCTGGGTAGTTCAAAATGTAGCAAACTGCCCAAGTGAGGGTGTTTGACGTGGTTTCCATTCCTGAATTCATGAAGCGTTTACAAGAGTTGGTTACCCAAAGATGTCGCGGTTAAAATTGCGTGGACATAGGGTCAATCTTATCTAGACTGTCCATTCTTTACTTACGATTAGTTAAAACGGTATTTAGAAAGTTTGAGGTGATCTCGGTTCCTAAAGGCTATCGGACATTTAATACGCGCCCTGCCCCTTTTGTCATTGGCCATCTAGCTTTGAGCTCAAATATTTTGGTGCTGGGCTGTCCAATCTAAATAGTTTTTATACCAATCGACAGAGAAAGACTTGGCGCATCCAATGATACCAAGAACATTTAAATTGAACAGCTCAACACCAAGATATTTGAGTTCAAAGTTGGATTGCATGGCAAAGGGGGCCGGCGATTGTGGGACCTTTTATACGCGAGGCTCCGCCCCCTTTGCCATTGAAAACAAAAAAACTGAAGCTACTTTACGCAAATTTCACCCACCAGCAATCCAGATGTCGAAAACAAGATTTCTGAGTTGAATATCTCTAAAATTTTCTAAATTTGGTAGCAAAAAAAAAGTTGCACTCACGTGTAATATCCCTCATGAATTGAGCCCTTCTTCTTCCGTTGCTCTTTCAACCAACACTCAACAAAATCATCGTATTCCTGAATTTATGCCCGAATATTAAAAAATATAAATTCTCAGAACAGTTGCTTTTGGAGTCTTCAATGAAAAAACCTCAGTATCAAAGTCGACATTTTTTCTTCGATTATCGATTTGTCGCTGAATAAAGTCAAAGAGAATTTGATTGTTCGCTAGCACTTCGGAGTAAATTCCTGAACAGAACAGAAGGTGGGGATATAATCGTATTGATGAGTAAAACTATACTGATTCTTGGCTTTTTCGGTCTACGGAGGCGGGTATAACCGTATAGTACTGGAGCCTTTTATAAAGTTTTAGCTTATTTATAGTACGTACCCCTAAAAATTGGCCATCCTCGAATGAAAGGCAGAGTGGCGGAAAGAATGAAAATCGGATTCGTTCCAGCGACGATCATGTGTCGGAGAGCTTTCTTTACGAGCTCAAACTCGTCAAGGTGTTGCTTAATCGTCAATATTGATCATTTAGCCACTTTAATCTTCCTTAAACTTTAACTTTCTTCAGTTAGCTTTTATTTTAGCCAATTGAATATTAGAAAAAGCTATCAAGCACTATGAATTCACCAATGAATTTCTAATATGTTGCAATCAGTTTAATGACAGAAAAATTGTCGTTTAAATACTTTGTTTTAGTGCCGACATTTGTGATAAAACTTTTCAACAAATTTAGCGCTAAGTTTTCGTTCAAAATACCTCATCAAAACGATATCCAAAGACGATATTGTTGATGATTGATCCAACGGCTGTATCGAACTCTTTCTGCATAAATATGTCCTCTTTCTGCTGAGCCATCCTTTCCATTAGTGGCTCTACTTCGATCATGATCTAAAAATTGTAGCCAAGTTTGTCAATCAATGAATTCTTTTTCACTCGCCCTTTCCTCCATCAAATTCCTTCCCATACCGAAATCTCTTAAAGTGTGCAAAGTGAATCTGGAATTTGTCCTTGTTTAAGATTTCTTTTGATTGGTTTACCTTCTTTGCTCTCTCCAAAGATCTCCTTGTGAGCTGATCAAGCCAAAAGTTCCACCTGAAATTGTAGTCTTTTAAAAAAAGTCTTAAAGTCCTAGTCTTCTCGTGGGTTCAATCCCCTTTCTTTCTTTGCCATTTCGTACTTTACTTTATTACTAATCTTTAGACTTTATTACTAATCTGGTCTGATCTTTAGAGTAAATCGTAGCTCAATTAGGGAATTTGTCATTTGTAAATGCTAGTAGAGAAAAGTATCGAATTACCTATGAGCCAATTTAATATTGAGCCTGTACATTTATAAACATTATGCTATTATTTATAAACTCACCCCTGAGCACCTCATTGAACTCCTTGAAAACGTAACGATCCGAGTATTTATCGCCCTCTTTTATAATCGATTCTTTAATCGTTTCATAGTCGGCCACAATAAACACCGGTTTGAAACCTTAAAATTGAATGCTTAAATTTTTAAAAAAATCTTTTCTTACTTAGCCAAAAAGTGAAAACAGGTCCATATTCTTTTCTCCATTTCGTGAAGACTTCATAACCGGGTCGGTTGAGGAAAACTTGGATAAGATTTCCGAAAATTGGGAGTGGGGTTGGACCTGGATAATGGTGTAAGTTAAACGATATTTTTGAACTTTTTCACTATCAAATATTTTAAGCTATTTCTATAACAATGAAGTTTTTCAGTTTTTAGCATTTTGTTATGCATTAATGCAATATTTGGTTGATTTTGAAGTTGATTCTTTGTAAATCGTGAATCTACAGGGTGCGTCATAATTATTGCAACAAGATACTCAAGGCATTGCACACCAAGAAGTTTCACTGGAAGAAGATTTTTCAACAGAAATAGCTTTATTTAACAGTAACAAATAAGGAAACAAGAGGTCATTCGATATGATCGCCTTTTGCCTTGATAACAGCCCTTAATCGGTTCGGATATGCCTCCACTGCGGCCCGAATGTCATCTTGAGGAGTCGCCTTCCATCCTTTGGTCAAATCATCCTTTGTGTTTTCGAGAGCAGACATTAGCCTCTAAGATTGCCCAAATGGAAAAGTCCATCACATTGAGATCCGGTGAGTTTGGAGGCCATTCATCCTTGGTGATCACTGAGGGAAAGTTGGCCACACACCAGTCCTGAACCGTCTTCTTCGTGTGAGCGGGAGGCAATTAGGCAAGAATAAAGAAGATAGAACGCAACACAACAAAAAAGGGGGCAAAAAAAATAAGAAAGCTGTTTGGAAAACGGTCTTTGAACTCTTGTTGCAATAATTATGACGCACCCTGTAGTGAATCAATCAATCAAAACGTCCAATCGAATTGTAAAGTTTTGCTAATCCGGCTGACTTTATATGCAGCTATGATCTTATGATTTGAAGTTTTAAGCAAAACAAAACAACAACTTGTTTTTAAACAATCTTTTTGCCGAAACAAGTCTGCTATTGAGTCAACGTATTCATCTGTTTTGTAAAATCTGTGACTTTTTATTTAGCACTTTGTTTCATTTGTTCTTATCACACTTTACATATTTAAATCTAATTCATATCGATTATAATCACTTTTAAAAAACAAACCCGGTGGTAAACCTCTTCTTTTCCAATAAAAATCATAGAATAGAAAGCCGATAAATAATAAGAAAAGAAGAAATAGAATCATGTTTGAAAAAAAAGTGAAATAAAGATTTACAGCTGGTTACCTAGGTTGTTTGTGGGAGAGAAAATAAAAATTGTACTTGGTATTGGGGGGAAAAAGAGCGGTGATCAAATAGAGAGTGAAAAAAGATTGGATGGAAAAAGAAAAAGAGTAAAAAAGGAAAAATAAATGGAAAAATTCGGGTACCGTTTTTTTTACCCATTTCTCTTTCCCTTTTTGTTAAAGAAGGTTGTTTTGATTTGCTGTGACTTTTATTCTATTTCTATTCTATTTCCGTTTCAAAATTAAGAGTGAGAGATTGAAAAAAGATTGGATAGAAAAAGAAAAAGAGTAAAAAAAGGAAAAATAAATGGAAAAATTCGGGTACCGTTTTTTTTACCCATTTCTCTTTCCCTTTTTGTTTAGGAAGGTTGTTTTGATTTGTTTTGACTTTTACTCCCTTTCTATTCTATTTCCGTTTCAAACTTTGTGCCAATATTCTTGTACAAACTATGTTGAAAATGATAAGAAACTGCAAAAAGAGTGTTTCGGGTAAAAATCGAAAATCTTATCATTGAGATCCAGAGTTCTTGCTAATGTCCAAGCTTGCATTATCCATAAATAGAAAATTCGGTAAAAAGGTTTATCAGAATAAAGTTATTGAATGAAAACTCATGATCATTATCATTTCGCTAATGTCTCCTTTGCACATTGCACAAATATTCATTTGCGGTCACAACGAGTCCCATCTTTTTCTCCATTGACGGCTTTTTATTAGCTGTAATCTGAAAAGAAAACAATTCAATTGCTCGAACAGCAAAAGTTTAATCGATGGTTCAATCCCCTCTCTGGAAATCTATTTTCTCGCCAATTCCTTCACGTTTTTATTGTGATTTCTCATCGAATAATACCAAGATTGGGGGTAGGCTAGTTTCCGCAACTTTTTTTTGCGCAACAGGGTCATTTGCGCAACTGGGTCGTTTGTGCAACTCGCTATAACTTTCTTCTAAGTGGGCTAATCTTTATGATTTTGGTCTCATTTTGTAGACCTCAATAAGTGCAACAAAATGAAACCAAAATCATAAAGATTAGCTGACTTCGAAGAAAGTTATGGCGAGTTGCGCAAAAGACCTAGTTGCGCAAATGACCCTATTGCGCAGAAATTGCGTGTTGCGGAAACCAGCCTACCCCCAAGATTGAGCTGATTGGATGTAAACTGACAGTTTGACTACGATAGTTTTCTTAAATAGGTTCTGTAAGCCAGGCCGGAGCGAGGTCAGAAGTCAAGTAAAGTAGGACAGAGCCGTTCTGGCCTGACCCTGGCCTGAAAAATTACCTTTAGAACAACCTTTAAAGCTTAAGCACAAATAAATTAGTATGAATAATGCTAGTTCCGATTTAAGCCGCTCAGATTCACTTGAATTCTGACAATACCTTGAATCTTTGAAAAATATTGGCAATGAACAGATAGAGCTCCATTCGGGCCAATCCCTCGCCAACACATTGGCGCTTTCCAAGTGAGAATGGGATCAGTTCAGGATAGTTTTTATAGGAACCATCTGCGTTGATGAAGCGATCCGGATTGAATTGGTGAGGATTGGGAAAGATCTGAAAAAGAGCTTATTAGACTCAATTTTCTTTTGTTTGATGGAATTGAATGTACCAATTTTGCTTGAATTATAGCAGTAAAGGCTGAACAAAGGAAAACTTCTGATCTCCAACCTTTTCATCATAGAGAATCGTTCCGATTTGTGGCATAACCGCTGTCCCTTTCTTTACTAGATGCTTTGCAATAATCGTATCCTCAACAGTGACTCTCATCAAATTTTGAGGTAAGAGATTCGCAAAACGAAGAACTTCCTGAAAAATTGGATCAGTTCGGTCGGTCGGTTAAAATCTAATAGTCATTTCTTCAAAACCGACAAATAATCAATGCAAAATCTAGGAGGTAAACAAATTATTGAATTATTATTATTGAATTGAATTGCAAACTAGTCTTGTCGGCTGATTCAGTCCTTATTTTTGTCCCGATCTAAGTTGACTTGCAATATCCAGATCTGGATTACAGTTACAATATTTTAATGAAATAAACGACTGAAATTTACAATATTAGCTTTGTTTTGAAGCTTATTCAAAACTCCCTAGCAACCGAATTGAAATATGGCAACAGTAAGGGATAAGCTCGGTAAGCAAGAGGTCGCGGGTTTGGATCGCCAGTAAGGCTTAAGCCGTAGTTACTTATGCTTTACTGGCGGCAATGGGATACGTGTCGGTGTAGCTCATTGGTGGAGCGCTCTCAGGAAGAAGCTTCTTTCTTTGTCACAGAGATGACTTTGTTGATTTCTTTATGACTTTTTGAATCACAAAGTTCCTTGTGACTTTATGACTTGAACAGGAACTGTATTGTAGCGTACGCAATCAAAAAACACTCGAACAAATGTCTTCTTATTTTCCAAGCTCTATCTGCTACGGAATTTCAGCTCGATTGGTCCACTGGGGACCGAGATATCGACTATGCGACACTCCTTTCGGCTATATACATCGGATTTTTCTTTTTCTGACTTCAGATTCAGCATCAGGAGGGTCGATTACCTACTGAAGAACATTTTTAGGCTCCTAGCTGCATTCTTTGAATTTATGTTGACGACCGACAGACGGACATTTGTAATTATATATGTTACGTCCTATCTAGGATCAAGATTGATTAATCTAGAATTGATTGATTGATTGATTTAGAATTGATTGATTGATCTAGAATTGATTGATTGATCTAGAATTGATTGATTGATCTAGAATCAATCAATCAATCAACCATTCATCACTCTAAATCAAACGTTCGATCCAAACATTAAATTTAGAGTGATCGGCTTGATTCTAGATTGGACGTTTGACCTCACTTCACTCTAGATCGGACGTAGAATCAGTCCTAGAATAAGTCTAGATCGGATGTAACTTATATAGCATAGATTCCTATTGCCTTAGTAATGGGGAAAGGCTTAGGGTAAAGAAAAACCAGAAGTAAATCCCATTTTTAAATCTTGTAAACTCACACTAACAACCGCATTCAAATATGGCAATAAATTCTTGTCATTCGTCGTAATCTTTCGATCAGAATCGATCACTCGATCGAACTCTTCATGGATCTTTTCTTGAACTTCCGGATGATTCAAAATATAGCAAATCGCCCAGTTTAATGCGTTTGACGTGGTCTCCATTCCTGTTTTTGTGAAAATTCTCTTGTTAAAGTTTTAAACCAAACCAGCCACCCACATGTCCAGCACCAAGTTTTTTAGTTGATCATTGCTAAATTTGAACATTAAAAGTTGTTCATAAAAATTTACCAATAAAACTCTTCATTCTCCTTTCCTTTCTTCTTGATTTGCTCTTTCACATAGCATTCAACGAAATCTTCGTAATCCTAAAGTTTTCACGATTTGTACTACAGTACTGGACAATGAAATATGATATTTGAAAAACGATCGTCATTTTCGCGCGGCGTCTGTAACTCCATTGTCTTTACCGTATTTCTAAATATTAATATTACCATTGTGTAGCCCTTGAAAAGAGCTTTCAGAAAATGTATAACACTAATAGTTTAAACTCAAAGACAAGGGAGTTACAGACGCGCGAAAGTGACGATTATTTTTCAAATATGATATTTCATTGTCCAGTAGTGTACCTCGCCTCTTTTGTGGTTTGATTTTTAGAGATCCCAAACTCAAATTGAACTAATTTTTAGCATCGTGCTGCATAGAATTTTTTGTACTGCTTTGCTAGGGTTGTCAAATTCTACCAATTGAAACTAACTAAATAGCTAAACAAACTGAGTAAGCAATGCGGTCTGACAGAGCCTTTTTTCTCTTAATTTTCTTAGGATTACAGTACTGGACAATGAAATATGATATTTGAAAAACGATCGTCACTTTCGCGCGTCTGTAACTCCCTTGTCTTTGAGTTTAAACTATTAGTGTTATACATTTTCTGAAAGCTCTTTTCAAAGGCTACACAATGGTAATATTAATATTTAGAAATACGGTAAAGACAAGGGAGTTACAGACGCGCGAAAGTGACGATCTTTTTTCAAATATCATATTTCGTTGTTCAGTAGTGTATGTTATCAGTCTTACTTCAGTCTCAAAATCGATCGTTTTTTTTCGTTCTTCGATTTGGCGTCCAATAAATTCGAAGAGAACGTTCAAATTTTCGTGGTTTTTCTGATGAACTCCTGAAATTAAACTTTATAATACTCAACACATTCGCGACAAAAGTATTTTGGGTGTAAAGTCGCGTAGTCGTTAGCTGTTTTGATAATTTGGTGAAAATTCAAAGATAATCAAATTACAGAGTGCGGCGAAAGTTCTGTCATTTTAAAATTCTCTTTAATTCTCTCTAATTGTTATTATTTCATAAGTGTTTATAGCCAAAAGATAGCCAATTTTTCACAGAATTTAAATCTTGTTACCGTTTTTAAATAGCTCCTTTAGATTTTGAGTTATCACTATTCTAAGCTCTTCGAAAAAAGTATCTGTGGTATATATTTTTACCCTTTTCATTGCAGAAATCTAAAAAAATTAAAAGCTTATTAAAAACTGGTGTTGTATTTCCAATTTCGAACTGATAAACAATTTCTTTGAATACTCTTAATCGTCTGAGTTTTAAGTTTGACAGATTTTCTTATACTGGTAGGACTAATAACTGGTGTGAACAGAGAGCTCAGGTAAATTGTGATAACTCAAAATCTAAAGGAGCTATTTAAAAACGGTAATAAAATTTAAATTCTGTGAAAAATTGGCTATCTTTTGACCATAAACACTTATGAAATAATAACAATTAGAGAGAATTAAAGAGAATTTAAAAATAACAGAACTTTCGCTGCCCCTTGTATGTATTCACCCAATATTATAGTCATTTGATAGCCCTGAATATCCTCTTGAAGACTAGTACAAAGCTACAAAGAAGTTCTGCAAAATAAATAACAAAAGTTGTTAAAAAGATAAAAAAGAGTCCTTAAAAAGAGCAAAATGAGTTGACACTAAAAATAATCGTCATTAATACGACTCGCTGGTGGGTCGGATCGTCTTGAATATGTTAAAAGAAACTTTTTAGATTATAGTTGTTGTTTTTAAATGTTTTTAAAAGTTTTTGAATTATTTTTAAAAGTTTTTGAATTAAGTTTACGTACCCTTGATTCCTGGAAAGCCTCTCAAACTTGGGAATGCGACGCCGACAAGAAAGAACGGGTTCGCTTCAGCGGCCAAGATCTGATGAATTGCCTTTTTGACAAAATGGAACTCGTGGAGATGTTGCTGAAAAAGGATATAATGTACTTTGGCTACTGTAGCTAGATCAAAAGGAACTTATGTTTGTCCTTGAGACTTGTGCTCTTAATCAATGTCTTTTCCAATTGTTGAAATTATTCCTATGTGCTGAAATGAAATCAAAACCATGAGATCAGTTAAAACAGAAACAGAAAAACAGAAAAATTTTGAATGCAATTGACTTGATAATCAAATTTCGTAAGCTGTTCTCTTTCTAAAAAGCCTTTCAGAAAACCACCTCATCAAAGCGGTACCCGAACAAAACACTGTTGATCACCGAGCCAACGGAGACTCCAAACTCTTTCTGAAATTTGTTTTTTATCGTAAATTATCAAAGCCAGTCAGGTAATCAGATAAAAATCTAATCCTCAAAGAAAAAAAAAACATCAAACAGCAGATACAAAAGAGCAAACAGCAAGCATCAAACATCAATCAAGCACAAAAAACACTAAACACAAAAGAGCAAGCACCAAAACTGTACCTGACGTAGTCGAAAGTCTCATAGCCAAGTACAGTTTTATCAAACTTACAATTGAGCTATCATACCAGTGTCACTATGTCAGTTTAGAAAAAATATTCGCGTGAATATTGTAATAGTACCCCACCCCCTTGTACAGTCGCGTAGTCGCAAAAGTTTTTTAGTATTTCTGGGATTAGAGATCCGGGTTCGATCTCGGCTCCGGTGAACCGGTTCATGGCCCAGGTCCTTAATGCGAGAAGCCTATCCAGCCGTCTTTGCCTTTTCTTCACCGCCAGAACAAGTTATCTAGGAGTCGTCCAATAAGAGTAGGGATTAGGGAGCCGCCGAGAATGTAGGCGTGGATTAAGATATAGCCTAGTAATGTGCATGTCGAATTGTGAGCTGAATAAGCCACATCCGGAGTCCGCGGTGTATAACTTTTTATTTCATTTTTTTCAAAGCGCCCGTACTTTCAAAAAAATCCGTCTTTGGTATTAAAAGATAGCCCTGAATTCCAGCTATTTTTTTGACACCTAAGCGTGCATTCTAGCATAAACTAGTGTCGAGCAAAACGCGTTCAAATCTAGGCACTAAACTACGCAAAACATTATGGGGATGGGGTACTATTACAGGGGGGTGGGACAAATGCGACCTTTTTTTTGCGCACCTGGACATTTGCGCACCTTTTTTTGCTGAAAAAGGCCTTAGGCAAGGTCGTAGAGCTTCAAAAATGTTTTCATAGAAGGGAATCGTATGCGTAGATTCCGAATTTCGACAAATCAGACCTCGCTGACACGTCAAATTTGGGCTAAAAGGCAAAAACTGCGGAAAAGCGTTAAGTTGCGTAGTTTTTGCCTTTTAGCCCAAATTTGACGTGTCAGCGAGGTCTGATTTGTCGAAATTCGGAATCTACGCATACGATTCCCTTGTATGAAAACATTTTTGAAGCTCTACGACCTTGCCTAAGGCCTTTTTCAGCAAAAAAAGGTGCGCAAATGTCCAGGTGCGCAAAAAAAAGGTCGCATTTGTCCCACCCCCCTATTACAGTATTTACGATACCAAAAAATGTAAAGTGCAAACAGCAAACATCAATCACCAAACGGGCAATTAAAAGTAGATATTTCTTGTTAACAATTTTTTGCATATTGTTAGCTACAACTATTGATAGATTAAGGTTACAACTTGGAAAGTTTAAGATAAACTTTTAGGACAGTTGGAGCATTTATTGGATTTGTTTTTGATCTGAACAGCAGCAACACCAAACGGCAAACGGCAGTCACCAAGGATTTCACCAACCAAACACCAAAAAGCAAATGTCAGATCATACCCGTTTTGATTAGGGGTGGTAATTTGAAAACCTATTTTTTTAGAATACTTACAAAATGTAACTCTTTTTGTAGGTTTTCCACTTCTTTTCAGAAACAAACGAATTCTATAATGAGGAATTTTTGCACAGAAACTGACAAATGACAAGTGCATTCGAAATGGAAAGCAAAACCGTAGAAAACAGAAAACTTGAAATTGTTTACTTACTTGCACATTGAGGTCATTCTTTAGCCGATCCATCCGATCAAGCAGATCATCCACCTCGTCCATGATCTATCAAATAAAAGTTGAGAGTGATTCAAAGATTTAAACTAAACATGGGCCCTATAAACTACAAAAATGACAAACCGTTTCACTATAAACCCTTCTAGCTGGCTTGAAATCTTTCGGATTGAGAGGATCAATAGCTCAAAAAATAGAGGATTTCAAGAGCTCTCGAATGGACTGACCCACACCTAAAAATATCAATGCTAAAGAAAGTTACAGTGGTTTGTGGCCTGACTCGAAATTGACCGTCGAAGCAATCGAGTCAGGCTACAAACTACTGTAACTTTCTTTAGAGTTGATATTTTTGGGCGTGCTTTGGTTCAATCGAAAGCCCTTGAGATTTTCTATTTTTTGGGGTACACATCATGTCAATCCGACAGATTTGAAGAAAGTTAGAAGCGTTTGTAGTTTATGTTTTTAGTTTTTGTAGTGTCCATGTCTAATTTAAACCGACCCTTGTCTCCATAAGATTTCGTCCCATTCCAAAATCGCGAAGCGTATGCAAAGTGAATCTGAAAGTCAAGATTTTCAATCACTTTCAGATTTTTAACCTTCTTTGTTCTCTCCATATCTCCCCGTTTGAAGTGAGAATTCCATAAAGGCCACCTGAAAATTGATCGAGAAAACCTCTGTTTTACCATACTTGTGTAAAATTTCCGTCTTTTAGCAAACGAATTTGGTTATCTAAAGGAAAATTTGATTGTTAAAATGTAAAAAAGTGGCTTGTCGTACAGGTATTTTTTGAAATAATTCAATTTTTGATAATTTATAGCCTTTACACGGTGCGTCATAATTATTGCAACAAGAGTTCAAAGACCGTTTGTGATGTCAAGAATGTGATGTCATGGGCGTGGAAAGCCAATAACAATCAAAATTGGACCTTCATGCAAGATGGAGCTCCCGCTCACACGAAGAAGACGGTTCAGGACTGGTGTGTGGCCAACTTTCCCTCAGTGATCACCAAGGATGGATGGCCTCCAAACTCACCGGATCTCAATGTGATGGACTTTTCCATTTGGGCAATCTTAGAGGCTAATGTCTGCTCTCGAAAACACAAAGGATGATTTGACCAAAGGATGGAAGGCGACTCCTCAAGATGACATTCGGGCCGCAGTGGAGGCATATCCGAACCGATTAAGGGCTGTTATCAAGGCAAAAGGCGATCATATCGAATGATCTCTTGCTTCCTTATTTGTTACTGTTAAATAAAGCTATTTCTGTTGAAAAATCTTCTTCCAGTGAAACTTCTTGGTGTGCAATGCCTTGAGTATCTTGTTGCAATAATTATGACGCACCCTGTATAAACCAAACGGAATTTTCAGTTGTAATTCTGAAATGTTTTCAATGTTAGTTTTCAGTTTTACACTCATTTTTACAATTAATTATAACAAAAGATAAGTAATTTCTTTTAATTTTAAGCCATTAAGTCAATTCTTTGTGAAAATTGAGCTCAAAGAAGGAATTTAATTATCTTTTTAACTTGATTGATCCATTTTCTCGGTGATTAGCTCACATGAGAACTAAAGTGACTCAAGACTACATCAATAAACTCTTAACGAAGCACTTTTGGTCAACAGTTACTTGGATGAAAAGAAAACTGAATGAAGAGCCGTTTAAAACAAAATCTCACCTCTGATAAAACGATTGAAATCCTCAAACGAGAAACGATCAGTAAACTTGTCTCCATCTTTCACAATTGTTTCTCTCATCTGATCAAAGTCAGCAATCACCACGATTGGTTTAAAACCTGATTAAAGAATTAATTAAATCATTGAATCAATCAATCATTGAATACTTAGCCAAAAAGTGAATACTGATCCATGATCTTTCCGCCATTTTCGAAAAGCTTCATAGCCGGGTGGAGCTTTAGCGATTTCGAGGAGATTTCCGAAGATTGGCAGTGGAATCGGGCCTGTAAAAGAGAGTCGTAAACTGAAAAACGAATACTAGACTGTTTATTTTATATAAAACTAAACTTTTATACAATTAGAACTATTGTAGCTAGATGTCTTTACAATGAATACCAATCGATACTTCCAGATCAAGTCATAGCTATTAGACATGGGAAAATTCCAAGCCGAACCTAATTTCACCTTCGTTTTCTTGGCCGTTTCTTCGATTCCTCTGAAATTTTGTCTACAAGCTGTCGATTTCGATCTGTAGGCAAAACTTCAGAGTAATCGGCCAAGAATTGGACAAGAATTGGGCAAGGATTGGACAAGAATTGGACAAGAATTGGACAAGAATCGGGCAAGGATTGGACAAGAATTGGACAAGAATTGGACAAGAATCGGCCAAGAATCGGCCAAGAATCGGCCAAGAATTGGACAAGAAAACGAAGGTGGAATTGGATTGGCTTGGATTGGCATTTTCCCATGTCTTTGGCCATGGCCTAGCTTGGTCTTGAAATTTGTCTTAACTTGGCAATGGATTGGTCATACTTTCCAAAAACATATTACATTCAAAAATAGCTTCTTTTTTAAAGCATTGCGAATTCAGTGCACCAACGAAAGTGCCTTTCTATTTTACAAAAAACCAGAGGCTTGGCAAAGAGTTATTTAACATGACGAAGCGTACCCGAGACTTGACCATGTAGTTTTTCATTTACAGAAATCTAAATTAGTTTACAGATGATTAAACAATCGACTTTTATTTGAAGAATTACTCTTTGACTTTTCAAAAATGCTTGTTCAATGGTGTCTTTGCTCTTTGCTTAACTCAAATCTAACTCAGATACCTGGTGGATAATTTCTTCTTTTCCAGTAAAGCTCATAGAAAAGAATTAACATTAAAACGGTCAAAGTCAGTAGGAAAAGCATTAGTAAAAGTCTGTGAATGCACAAAATACTTAAGAATAAACGAAATGAAATACTGAAATGTGCTTTTGGTGGGCGGGACTTGTGGTTCCCCTTTCCTCTTTCTGTCTCTTCACAGAAAGTGTTCTCTGCTCATTCCAAAAAGATTTTCGAATCACAAAAGGCTACTGAGACGATATCAATTTGATGAATCACTTATTCATAAACTTGAAAAGATTAGAAGAATTCGTGAAGAAAAATGCTGCGCCGCAAAGGCGATAAATTTTGCGCCGGAAAGAAAAGGCGATAAATTTTACTTGATGAAAACGAAATCCTGTCTAGATAGAAAAAACCTTGCGATTCTCAAGCCGTCTCCAATCCAAATACTAAGCGAGCCCAACGTTCCTGGCAGATCGGACGGGATACCGTGTTTTTAACGTGTTATGGTTGTAAGCGAGTGCTGGGCGGTGAAAGACGGTTGAAATAGTAAAAGAAAGAGATTGTTTGACACCGAAGAGACGCAAGACGACGCGACTGTGTGCACCTTCTCGGTGTCTCGTAGGAAAAAAACAGCATCTGCCACACGACTTCCACGGATAGAGCGAAAGAGACCCCACTATTTGGTTTAATTACCCAAATTTGAGGTTAGCATCAGCGCCAAGGCCTTGCAAAATTGTCTTGAGCAAATTTTGGAACGCGCTCCCGGGAGGGAGTGCACAAAAATTGGTGAAACTTAAAGTTGGGAAAGTTGCTGTTCTGTTGTTTAATTCAGTCCATTGCTCACTTTCAATGAACACTGAATATTTTGATTAAATAAGCCTTGGGATGCATTTTGGAATTCAACAAGCAAATTTCCCGAAGTAAACGCAAGTAAAAACCAAATAGTTATTTTTCAGCTTCAAGCTAAAAAGACGTACCAGACGTACCAGGTGCAAGAAATCATGTAGTAGCTCATACTTGAAGCGATCTAAAGAAAAAGGAAATGATTCTAGGATTTTAGAGATTAAACTGTGCAAGACAGTTGTGGCAAGATTAACAATATTTCCTTGATTGGAAATATAAACAAAAAACCGGATAGTACCCAACTTAGCACCGTTACAAGACTGACTTGCAAAGTGAGCCCAACGAGGAAACGTTTCGTCGTTTTTCGTGCCTCTTTTGACATCAATAATTGATTAGAAATTTGATAGCTCATTGAAGAATATGCTAGAGAGAATAGAGATAGATAAAGCGAGAAGCTCAAAAAGCTCGAAAGTTTTAGACTTTCAACTCCCGCATTCCCTTTGTGCATCCCCTTCACGGGGATGCGTTCCAAAATTTGCTCAAGACACTTTTACAAGGTCTTGGGGTTAATGCTAACCTCAAACTTGGGTAATTAAACCGAAGTGGGAGATCTCTGTCGCGCTATGTGTAGAGGTCGTAGGCCAGTAGCCGCTTTTTCCTACGAGACACACAAAAGGTGCACACAGTCGCATCGTCTCGCGTCTCTTCGGTGATAAAAGATCTCTCTTTCTTTCTTGGTAGCAAAATGTAGCAATATGTAGAATAGACAATGAATAAGGAATAGATAAAGCGAGAAGCTCAGCATGTCTCAACAGAATTTTCGAGATTGGTTTGAATTTGAAGCTTAATATCAAATTGAATCAGTTTGATACTAAATCAGCATCATTTTCCTTTAATGATTAGTTGTATTTGCGATCGAGTCGACTGTTGATTTCTATCACAAATTCGCAAAATCACTGGGAGAGTCTTGTGAAAGAAATAGGCAGCGAATCGTTTCCGTTTAAACATTTCATTCAACATTTCAAGATTCGCTCTCTCAAATTTCTCCTCAATCTCTCGAAATGGGGTTCTGAATCCTCTCAAATGGTTTTCACGACTCAACCGGTGATTTCCGACTTTATTTTTCATTTTACTAATCAATTCTTTCAAACGTTTCACTTGATGCCGAGTTTTTACTTCAATATTTTGACTCTCCGTTTCACAAATGTAAACATTTACTGGATGAGTGGGTAATTTGTCAAAAATTTCTCCGATTCCATCAAATAATTGTCGTTCGTGTACGAGGTGGTGAATGCAAAATTTCGCTTTGATATTCTTTAATTCATTGCTCAAAAAGTTAAAATAAAGAACCGAGCATGAGTTTAGTGAATTTCTTGTTAGAAAGGTTTCCAAATTTTCATTCTCAGGTGGGTTTTGAAGAAAAAACGAGCTGACGAATGGACAGTGACCTCCCCAGAGCCGTTCAATTGTTGAGATTTTATCGATTTTAAGATTTTTCACTGATAAAATTTTCGGGAAAACTTGATGAGTTTTTGACGCTTTTGAGTTATCGCTTAGTTTCAGAGTGCGACAAGAGCGAATCATGGAAAGCATAAAGAAGAGAAAGTGTTGAGAATCGAGGCTCAAATTTGGACCAAAGAAGCAGCGAAAGTTTGTGTCATCAATAAAGCGACCAATCGAAATTCTTTCTTGATCCTTAAACAATATTGATGCTGTTATTTCACTTAACGAATTAAGATGAAAGCTGACCATTTCCAGACGTTTTGGAAAGAAACCAACCTTCAGAAAAGCCTTTCGACAAGCTTTTGTTGCATAAAAAAGTTTAGGAGTGGCCGAATAGTGAACAAGATCAAAAATCACCATTTTTAGTTCATTTGGCAAAGATGTAAAGTTAAATTTCTGCATTTTAGCTGGGGATTTAAGATTTGAGAACTTGAATAATGCTTGAAGATGCTTTTTGTCAAACACACTGAGTGACTAGAGTGTCTTGTTGTCTATTGAAAAGAAAGCCAACAATCTACTGCTCAACATCCACATTTTAATATGTTCAGTTGGAAGAACAACGAATTTTACCGCAATCCTTCTAGCTTATATAATTTTATTTTATTTTAAACCAAGACAAAGAAAGCATTCCGTCTCAAAAACCAATAATTAAATTAGTTTTCTTTTCAGGTATTGCTTTTTCGAACCGTGAAAGTTCATGAAACTATTGACAAGTACAGAGTGCGACGAAAGTTCTGTCATTTTTAAAATTCTCTTTAATTCTCTCTAATTGTTATTATTTCATAAGTATTTATAGCCAAAAGATAGCCAATTTTTCACAGACTTTAAATCTTATTACCGTTTTTAAATAGCTTCTTTAGATTTTGAGTTATTACAATTTACGTGAGCTCTGTGGTCGCACCGGTTATTACAAAATATTGGACGCATTCAGGATAAAAGTCATGCACATTTCAGTCATACACATTTCCTCAACTCCACTGTCCCTTGTGCATATCTTTGAGAGAGATATCTAAAGAATTTGTGACAAATGCATGCTTTATTGTGTTGGAGCCAAACTCAAATGTTTTTTTTACATACGTCCAAGTGTTTAAAAGAACTCTGATAGTCAAATAGAAAATAAGTTTCATAATTCAAAATATTATGACACTTTCTTCTTGAAAAGTGACTTTTAAGACTTTCAAAAGCTGCTCAGACTTATTATTTTTTGGAGTTTCTAATTATATTTATAATTATCTACTTTTTAAGAAAAGTTGACGGTTTTTTTTGAGAGAAATAACTTACAAAAAACAGAATTCAAAGTTCTATCAATGAGAAAATGAATTTTGCTGACAAAATGTGTCCACAAAGATAAAAAATTCCCCAAAAACTGTCTTTTTTCTACCTTTTGCCTTAAATTCAATTTTTGTAGCTAATAGCTCAAACGTCAGCTAAAGATATTGAATATTCACGCCCACGTTATGCTCAGTGACTATCACGATCTTTGGGGCTATTTATTTGGACTCATTTCTAGAGTACAATTTATCTGTATTCTAAAAAAAAGGGTTTTTGTAGGTCTTTTTGTGTGAAAATTAGTTTAATTGGAGATCAGCCACAGATTGTGAAATCTCATGAGGCCAATTTTTATTCTTAACCTTCAATCTTTCCCTTTGAAGAACTTCTTTAAATTTAAATTATTAGTTTCGCAAATATGAAAGGTTATTTTTTTTGATCATTTTTAAAACAACAGAACAATTTATTTAAACACTTTCAAAATCAAATGTATTCACCACAAGCATTAATAACTTCTTTCCAACCCAAATCACGAATGCCGCCCTCGTAAAATTGAAGATTTTTAGTGGTAAAATAGTTGGCAACCCAATTTTCGATGTCCTGCTTTTGCTTGAACTGCTTTCCATAAACCGCTTGTTTCATAGACCGAAAGAGGTGGTAACGATGGGGCTAGGTCAGGGCTGTATGGTGGGTGAGGAAGGAGATTTATCTATCTGTTTTATCCATCCCAACTTATCTATCTGTTGAAACCTTTGAAATGTGTGGCCTAGCATTGTCGTGAAGAAATCTGACCTTTGATGGATCGATCCGCTTTTTCCTCAGTGCTCGATCGACTCGACCCAGTTGTTCTGCATAAAGTCTTCCATCAACAGTCTCGCCTATATCCAATACTTCAAAATAAACCAATCTCTTAGTATTCCACCACACACAGAGCATAACTTTCTTCCCGTGTATCGGAGGCTTCGGGATTGGATGAGGGTCTGCTTCGAACTGAGCCACTGTCCATGGAGTTGAATGTTTTCATACGGAAGCCAAGTCTCATCAAATGTCAAAAAATACTTCTAAAAGTCACGATGGTGAGCTTTGGGTAGAAGAAAAGAGCTCAGGGTGACTCGTATGGCTTTGTGGGGATCAGTGAGGTCGTGGGGAGCCATTTCCCGCTTTGATATAATTTCCCCAGAACGTGTAAATGGTTTTCAATGGCAACATGAGTGCATCCGAACTTTTCTGCTAATTTTCTACACTTTTGCGATGGGTCCAAGTCGACCTCGTTCAGTAACAGCTGATCGTCCAAAGTAATCGGTGGCTTTCCATGTGGTGCATCTTCCAATGACTCGTCTCCCGTTTTGAAGCGATCGTCCCAAACATAACATTGTTTGTAAGTAAGAGCAGCTTCTCCAAAAACAGTAAAAATGTTCTGATGGCATTCCGTAGCTTTCTTGTTTAACTTGAATTCAAAGAATATGGCA